TTCTTGTTTGCAGCAATTTATATATTCGGGACACTGTTTTTTTTTTGGTCATATATTTTGCACAGAAAATCCTTGGGCCACTAAGGCTGAAACAAAGACTTTTTTCTTTGTAGGTAAGCAATAAATAAAAATATTGATAATTTATGCAAAAGGAGCACGTGCACAGCCATTAACGACAAAGTAGGGCTCCGCTACGAGGCGGCGGCGATCATGCTAATTTATCGTGGCGTGACTCTAAAAAGGGTAGATACTGCAGTCAGACAGCTGCTCTCCATTTGTCCGTCAAACTCGTCACCAGTAGAGTGGTGTTTGTGTGTGGACCATCTGGTCGGGAGGTGAGAACCTTAAAGACAGACAAAGGCCAAAATGAGAATGAGCGTCTTTTCTGTGCTCTCTGAGGCCTGAGTCGCTGTGCATTATCTGGCACTCAATTATGTATGTATGCTAATGAGCAGCTATGTGGATATGTAGGTCACATAAACCTATTTTCCACAAGGGTTCAGCCCCTCCCTCCCTGCCCCCACCCTGCACACAGCCCCGTTTCCCCATCTCTAATTCCCCTCTTCACACACTGCACACACACACACGCACACGCACGTATTTTCCTGCACACCCGGATTGGTGTGAAACAGTCACGCTAATCCCAATGCGTAGAGAATTCCGCTCTATCCCCATGAACGTGGGACACGGTCGAGAGACAACGTTCACAGATCCGGACCACATTCCATGTGTTTCCCAAACAATGGGCTCATCGATTCCATATGCATCAATTCCCCTTATTTTCCAATAATTTCATTCTCATTTAAAAAAAAATAAAATGGCAAATGCAAGACTCAAATTGGCTACTCATTCGATCTCGCTGAGTCCAAAATCACAAGAATCTTCCTCGTATCATAACTTTGTAATATTTACTCTTAAAAAAAATTTAATCGAATACGCCGAGGTGTGCGGCGGCTACAATGCTAACTGTAACTGTTTACCAAAAAATTTATTTTTATGCTACAGAATGGTACACATGCACGTTCTCCTGTCAGCCAGAACGCTGTGTAATTTTCAAAATCATTCATTCCACTGTCAGAAAAGCGAGTGGGACACAGAATTTCAGCTAGGGTAATCAATACCGTTAGTTATCACAAACCAGTGAATGGAAAAAGGCATCGTTAAAACTGAGCCAGATGGCTCGGTAAGTCGCTAGTTAATGAATTCGATTTCGGAGTCATTGCCAGATACCCATCTACAACTTTGTGCCAGCATCAATAAAATTTTACAACAGTAAGTCGTCTGGTTGAATGATGCAGAATGTTAACCCTGCAGTGCCATTTTCAGACCGGTTTAATGTGTCTGCATCGCTCACAGGATTGACACTGGATTCTTGTATCAGCTATTTATGTGTGTAATTAAATGTATTTTTCGGAAATGTAAGGGACCAAGGTCGCCTCTCTTTGTGGGGGCTGTTTGGGACTTTGCAGGACAGTGTTGGTGAGCGCTGACCTCACAATGAGATCATGTGACTCTCTTCAATAAATGAATGGATGAACAGCAGTGTCCCTTAGACCACTGCACGATAACTCCTCCCCTACACTGGCACCCCTCTGAGCTGGCAGAGGTCGAACACAGCGGCTTACAGGGAGTCCTCATTGTGGGCTTAGACTCATATGAGGGACATGGTGGCAATAAAGGCACGTGTAAGGAAGACGGATATTTTTACTCCTACTCTACACGAAGCCTCTTCTCAGCCTTTTCTCTCCTTGCTTAGGCTCTGCTCCTTGTGCTTCTTTATGCTTTAACAGCATAATAGGCCTACATGACGTGTTATCGTACAAGCCAACAGTACTAGAAATAGCTTTCATGCATGCATGGTGTTTGAAGGCTGCCTTTGCACAGGGATGACAGTAATTTGACAGTCTGTGGAAAGACATAACAAAAACAAACGGCAGGAGGAGACGAGAGTATTTAGTTATGGATTATAAATTTATACCGGGTTTTTGGGGAATATTAGATGTAATGGGCTGTGTACATGGAAGGCACTGAGTTTGCCCTTGGCGTCATTTAAGTTTATGTTTCTCAAGTAACACGGCCCACAATGCCACCAGCTGAGAATTCATCTCCCAGCCTAAAATTGTCATTTTACAGAGTGTTGGCTTTCCGCAGTTACACTGCAGTCTTTCCTCAAATCACGTATTCTTTGCCATTCTTCGAGTGTCTCTCATCGGCTCACCAACTCTCACTCCCTCTCGCTCACTCTCTCTTCTTCCCCTCCCTGTACGGGAGATGCCTGTGGAATATAGTCATCAACATGATTTTCTTTCCGCTTTTCTGGAAGAAAGGCGAACCCTCGCAAACACACAGTCAGCTGCGGTGGAGCCGCGCGCTTCCCACAGAAGAACAGCATGAAAACATCACCGCTGCTGCACCCACCGAGCCGCTGCCCTGCTCGTGGTGCCTCTTAAAGGGACAGACGCGCGATTGGCAAAGCACGGCCTCCGCGCTGATGCCCAGACCGCAGAGCTGCGCTAAGCTCTCTGTGGCTGCTTAGCGAACCTTCCCTTCCGACACTCTGCGGTGTAAGACTGACTGCATGAGCTCCATCCCTTTGGTAGAAAGAGCTCGTCTTGGGAACATATGTTGCTCATATGTTGCTTAAAAGATTCATGTCGAGCCAGACAAAGTAGAATTATCATCCTGCTTGTTTCCTCAACACTCACACGGGGAAGTTAACCGGTTTAATTTTGATTTAACTCTCATCTCTCAAGCCTCTCTGCTGTTTATAATCTGTTGGTCCCCCCCCCGCCCATGACACATCGACCTTTAGGAATTGCAGACCACGTGTTTCATTTGCTTCCTGCTTCGATTAGAAATGAAGGGAGCCATTCCGCAGAGAGACACCAGCCTCAGCGACGTATATCAGTGGCCATCACAGGTTTGCATTGACTCGCCAGTCTGTGGGACACAAGGACTGCTGATGTACGCTTGGATTAAGCAGGAATGTGCTTTCCAGTAGCCCCCTAAATGGCTGCATAGTCGGGTTTGCTCAGAGGCTGCCGTTCAGACGTACTGCAGCTCTCGCACTGACTGTGACTTCGGGCTGCCATTTAATGGGGCCTCGTTTTCCAGACTTTCGTCGCTGTTCTGTGGCGCGACATGGAAATGAATGGAGCAGAAGCGATGGCGGGAGATAACAATGGACCGCGGGTGAGTCAGGGCTGACTCATCCGAACGCTGGGTGGAAGGTGACGTTTTGTGGGTGTTCGCAGGTGGTGTGAATCTTCTCCCCGTGCTGCCAAAACGGAAGCGAGTTTGCCTGTCACAACAGTCTGCAGGACCTCCCCCTAATCAGCAGCAGGAGGTGGAGCCAAACGGTCCACCATGCTGCTGTGCTGGTTGGATCCGGTAATCTTCAGTAGGGAAATATTTAAGGTCTGGTTCCCTATAATCTAGAACCTGAATGGTGTGCATTTTAGGCATAAAGAGCTATTAGAAATGGCTGTCTAAGAATGTTCTATCTGCGCAAGGACAACACAACAGAAGACACGACAATAAGGATATTTAATGATTTAGTGATTCTGCATCGTATATGATCTATATAAAAATGTTTAGATATTTGCTTGGAGTCAAAAAGCTTTGACAAATCGACTGTGGTTTTACACGCATCCTCATTTTGGTTTTTGTCTTTTTTTTTTGTCTGTAGAACTTTGCAGATATGTTGGAAATATTCTTCTGTTTTTAAAGTATATCTTTAATACATGGGGGTGACATGGTGGCTCCGTGGGTGGCACTGTTGCCTGTGGTTTATGATGGTGTACGTGTCTAGTGGTGGACTGGCATGCTTTCTGGGGTTTGCCCCAGCCTCGTGCCCGTGCTGCTGGAGGAATGAATAACATCACTTATAAAGAAAAAAACATTTTACTACCGGTTTGTTTGTTTTGAAGAATGTAGTCCATCTATCCATCTATCCATCTTCCACTGCTTATCCTAAGCAGAGTAGGGGATAAGGTGGGGGGGGGGGGGGGGGGGGGGGGGGGGGGGGGCAGGGGCACTTTCAATGAGAAGCCAATCCATTGCTGAGGAATGTTGTGCAATTTTTCATTCAACTTCAAATTCTTAATGAAGAATCACTTTGTGTACAGCTGCTGTAAATGATCTCAGTATAACTGTAAAAAGAGGCTTTGTGTTTGGATCCACCCCAGTCCTGATATTGTGCTGATGATTATCAGAACTGTCAGCGCAGAAGAAGTTGAAGAATTTTTCCACTGGCTGGGCAAAATTTAGCATGGGGGCCTTAGCCGCGATTTGATTTTTGGAGATGCTAATATGGTAAAAGAAATACCAAAATGTCACCTCTTGCGGTAACAGAACCCTGGGCTGTTCCCAGGTAATATTGGAGTCAATTTTTTGTTGAATATACAGGGAATAATTGTCATGTAATTGGGGAGTTCTTTCATTAATATACTTTAGATCCTTGTTTGCCAAACCACGTGGGACACTTCTTCCATGAAACACCCTCCTAGACAATATACAAAGCAAAATGTCGGTTTTAGGAACTCACATATCACACATCTTGACAAAAATAATATTTCTGTTGTTGATTACATTTTAGTATGTGTATGTGTGTACCCTATGTTCTATGCCTTTTGTTACAATAAAATGAAATGGTCCTGCTATCTCAGGGGCGAATACATTTTTATGTGTTTATAAACAATGAACCTCTGGTATGTTCCTAAATTCTTCACATTTTTAGCCAATCACGTGACAAATAAAACTCCAAACATCAGCGACTGGCTCATACATACCGGACAATATTCGACTGATGCAATCTATATCATCCCCAGCGTTCATTGCCGCCGTATCACTCTTCGGCAGTCATGTCTCTCGTTTCGGTGGCCGGGAGACATTAAATGTGCGCGTTTCCTTTAAGAAGCCCCCCCTCGCTGACTCCACAGCGGAGGGGGAACGACCGGATTCCTGGAACAGCAGCTGGGAAAAAAAAATCACCAGCGGTCTGTTTCAAGTCCCCCAATAGAAACTGTGCCTGATTTGTGGCCAATGTTGGAGATGTAAAAAAAAAAACGGAGGAAAAAAAACACTAAGGGGGTAGCTATGGAGATAGGACGTTTTCCTGGCTGCTTTCTTTGACAGGTGTTGAGTGGGGTAAAAGTCTTAAAACAGAATCCAGCATGTACGCCAAAGGAAAAGGAGCTGTCGTCCCTTCCGATAGCCAAGCGAGAGAAAAGTAAGTGAAATTACGCACTCACGCGCGCGGCTACTTTGTATATCACGCGCTCCCAGCAATACTTTACTCAAGTATAAGTAGTTGCTATTATTTAAAGGGCTGGACGGCGTGCGGTTACGTTACTTGCGCGTGTTTCCTGGACCGTCGCTTTGCTAACTTTTAGTTGCCGCTCTTTCATCCTTCTTTCATGTACCCCCCACCCCGAACACGAGGATATTCGGTCGTTTTTGATGTAGCCGTTTCTTCCCCAAAGAGTACACAAAATATTCATTCGTGTTGCGTGTTCGCGGCGGACTGCTCGGCTTTTTCTTGGCTGAAATAACGCGGTTAGACCCCAAGTTTGGGGAGTTGTAAGCGGGGACGTGGGCTTCGGTGTCGCGGCGAACGTTTAGCGGGGGAGATGTTGGCTTTGTTGTCGGCTTGCGAGGAGTCGGATAGGTGGCCGCGGACCCTGTAAGGCACGTTGTGTGACTGTAAAGTTTTCCGAGGGATGCTATGGACGGCGGCTTTAGTTTTGCGCTGCAGTCTATGAGCGCACCTTCCTAAAGCTTTGGTAACATGCATTGTCAGAATGTGGCTTTTTTCCCCTCGTTGTTTGGAGTTAAACGTAGTTTCAGTGGTTATTAAATAATGTTAGGTTGTTCGGCCGTAGAAGGAAGTGTATCAGAGACGTTAATTTCAAGGTTTTGCTATTGTGTGTTCTTTTGCAAAAGCTATTTTACAAAGATGCCTTTTCAGTGAACCGTCTTAGTGTCAGCGATCGTGTGTTTTTTTTTTGTGAATGAAACACTTTTCCGGTTTTCTCCATGATTTTCAATGGCTTCAATTAGTTAGTCGAATAGGTCACCAGAAATATTCAAGATAAACGCACGAATACCCTTAATGTATAACATATATGTGTTGATGTTTTAATATCAACAAACTTGGTCAACAATTGAACAGAACCATCAGAGACCCGTTTAATTGGATGGTGTTTAATTTAAAACTGTTTAAATGGATAGTGAAGATGGATGTGGATGATTCTGAATGTATATCGCAAAATATTTTACCAAAGCGATGCGTTTTGTTGGAATATAACTCGGCAGCTAGTTAATTGGTTTTCTCTTGGCTGTACTTGTGTTAAGAGTGAGAGACAGAATCGGGCAGCCGCACCGATATTTCAGATATTTGTCGGCTTATTGATAAGTAGTTTTAAATACTCCTGCCACCCCCCATCACGAAACAAGTAAGCGATCGTATCCGCCTTGCACTGTGTATCGACGGAAGGCAGATTCTTTCACTTACTTTGATCAATCGATGGAACACAGAAAGCACTAGATTATACCGAAACGTTTGGAAGGGTTCATTGTTATAAAGGTAATGCTAAGCATTTTAGTGACAGCCTGCATCCACCGTGCTGTATGGCCAACGTTAGTTTTTCTGATCGATTCTGTAGTATTAAAAGCTGGCCGCTATATTAAGTAAACCTATTAAAATCAGTCGCCTCTTGGGCTCCAAAAATGAAAATTAAGAACTTTATGGAAGTGCTAAAAACTTGTGTATCTCTTGCATGTCATCCGTTTCCCCTCATATTGTAAATATTTTATTTGTGGAAGATAAACGTGCATGTAAATAAGTGTGCGTTAAATATGAAACGGCCGTTGCTGCAGCGTTATTTTCAGACGTTTCCCGGTATAAAGACACCACCACTGTCACGGTTGATATAATAGTCGTATACTGCACGCAGCAATGTTTGTTGTACAGTTTAATTCACAACAGTGCTGCGGAGTGTAGGCTTAGTTGGTGTGCTCGTGCCCACGTGAAAGTTTTTTTTTTTCCATGATCTGTTGCTGGTTGGTGAGAACAGTGATATCAGTAGACTGTGTATTAGTTTTAACAGGCTCTGGTGCCACCGAGCTGTGGTATGATTGGATATGATTGAAAGCTGAGATCAACCCCCCTGCTACTGTGTAGTGCAAATTTACAATGATCTTAAAGGTCTTAAGGATACTTAAGGTATTAAAGTACACCGAACTGTTTTAACAATTACGCTTCATTTAGTCATTGCAGTAGAATTACTGTATTCCGATACATGGGAGAACCTGTGTTTAGTTAAACTCGACTAAGGCGGGAAAGCAAAGCATATGTTAAATGTTAAGGTTGTTTTAATGTCTTGTTGGATCTGCTGTAACATCAGGCTGACTTTAATTAAGCGAGAAATTAGATATTTCTTGTCTCAATCTGATATTTCATCAAAATTGCATGTATGCACCTTTTACAGGAAAAACCTGTGAAGTGGCAAGGATTACAAATAAAGCTGGTTGCTTGTTGTAAATACGAGAGAGAAGTGGCATAGTTTGGCAAACACCGTAATGGTGTGTGCGTGAAACAAACGTGCCAGCCTTGACCGCAGATTTGTTAACAAAAGTTGCACCGTAATTATAGTGAAATATTGTGCATCACAGAGTGGAGCGTTTAGTGCTCGATTGCAGTTTACATTTGTGGGTAAAGGGATGATATTGAAAGCTGGAGATAAAACTGATTGATCACCTTTCTTGGGTGTCTTTTGTATCAAACTTGCCTGGTGTTGATCGGCTCCGCAGAGGACTGCTGGGCTGCCAGTCAGTGGCACGCGTCTCCATCCTGCCCATCGTTTGTTCATTGGCATCTTTACCACGCTGGACGCCCAGCATCATGCCTGCATGTCAGTTTTGCTGCTCGAGTCAGTCAGAATTCTCCACGTGTCTGATTTGTTTCGTTGCTAGCGAAGTTGCAGCAGCTTGGTGCTTCGTTTTACTAGTCAGACTGAGCTTCTGGTTCCTTGGCCACTCAGGGACGTGGCGCTAAACCAGATTGGTGTAGATAAGACCTGCTGCTTCATATTTCTGCTTTCACACTGAGGACTGTAAATCAGACCAAGATGACACTGTTTGATTTATCCTCTTTCTTAGAGAGTGTCAAAGACCCTAAAGCCCTGTTTGATTTCACCCCAAACAATAAACTCATCCCTCAGAAGGTCTGAACTCCTGCTTTTAACCCGTGTGAGCATCTCAGGCTCTTGTTTTTTTTTTTTGTTTATCTTTGAAATGTGTTTTGAGCAGCATTATGGGTTTGTGACTTGGTAGGTGTTTGAGGTAGCAGTTAAGGCCTTCAAGGGGACGTGTATCTGGCTGTCCAGTGCGGGGTTTTCCTGTCGGAATACTCCGCATTTAGATTAATGTAAAAAATGTGTCCCTGAGAACAGCTCTACTTATCAGATGGAACAAAAGACTTGAAATTGGCTGGATTAATAAACAAAAGATTTGACTGTGGAACGGCAGCCCTCTTGCAGGTGTTCTCTGCTTGTGGAGAAAGAGGGGGACAGTGATACCAGAACCTGTGCATAACTAGAGATAAATACAAACCAGTACAAGGGTGTGATATTGTGAGGAATCTCCTTTTTGGGAGTGTGACTGTAAAGTAAGGGGTTCGATGACGCGGCGTGCACTTCCTGTATTGCCTTACCTTGGGACCGGAGTGAGGAACATCGCTGATTATTGTGCATTCTGGATCTGTGCCTCAGATTTCCTGGGATGATTTGTAAAGAAGCACGAGTGGAAGAAGAAAGTGCTTGCAAAATTTTGCTTGGGAATTTCAAGGCCATTATTATAAGCGCAACAACCCCCCCCCCCCAAATGTAGATTAACTGTATTGAATAGGATTCCTACAGTATACAGAGTAGCTTTGAAACGGATGCATACATGCATAATGACGGCTCCATTGAAAACATTTTTGTATGAGGAATACAGTGTCTTTCACAGGCCGAGCCTCCGACAGTCTGAATGCTCTGAGGTCAGCATGTATCATAATGATCGAGAGTCCTATTGAAATCAGTGGAATTCATACATGGCGTCTTCAATACGTGAAAGTTAATCACTTGTGATTTGAATCACAGTTTGCTGCCAGCTTTTTATTCTTTATTTCGCCCCACTCCCCCCCCCCCCCCCCCCCCCCCCCCCCCCCTTCTTCTTCTTTTTTTTTTTTTTTTTTTTTTTTTTTTTTTTTTTTCTCTTGAGCATCTAAGCATATTAGTAGTAATCTTCCCAACATCTCTCTCGATGTGCTGATAATTCCTCGGGTCTCCCTCAGTGGACTTCGCAGTGGCACAAAAAACAAAACAAAAAAATGTTTCCGCATGCCATACTCTGTCACTTAATTTTTAGTGTGCCATGTTGGATTTTGTCTGGAGTCTGTTTTTAAATAAATAAATCGGGAGCGTTCTTGAACTCGGTATGCCGCGCGTGTTTTTGAAGGATTGCCCGGTGTTCACGCTGCAGCGAGGGGGGGGGGGTCTCCTCACAGAGCGGGACAAAGGAGGCCACTGCTGACACACCTGTTCACACCGGTGCTGCCGTAGGGCCCGCTGAAGACCGCACATGCTCAGATGTGACCTTTCTGTTCTTTCCCTCTTTCAAGATCGTAGCCTTTAGCCGCTGCTTCTGTGTCGGCTGCGTTTGTCGGCGGTTTCTTCAGCAGGCCCGTTCAGTAAAAGATAATTTCCCTGCATGAAATGTAAGTTGCAGCGCTAGGAACACGAGGCCAGTTTATATTTGTAAGGCGAGTATTTATTTGGTGGTGATTGGTGGCTGTCTTTTAAAAAGTTGTAACGGTTGATTAATCGAAGTAGTGGTTAAAGTGGAAGCACAATCCCAGCATTTCATGATTTTATTGGAATCTTTATCGATGCGCCCAGTTTGCTACCATTTGATTGGTCTCGAAACCCTGGAAAAACACTTTTTTCCCCCACATTATTTTAACGTTGGCGGCTAAAATAAACTGTAATCCCAGACTCAAGCTTGACCGCTGATTATAGTTTCTTATGATGAGAACTAGTATCAAGTCAGTGCAGATATCTGTGGTTAATTTTGATCAGTCCGTGTTTGCACCCAAGAGAGAAACTGCTGACCATGTACAGGGAACACAGAGGTTAAGAAACGGCTGTGTTGAGGCAAGTGTAATACTGCTCTGACCCGACTCCCCAG